ATCTTCAAATTAAAACCTCTCAGCATGGATGGCTGAAGTGTGGCGGCTGTTGGGGCCGTCGAGCTCTTAGTCACTGTAGCAATTGCCTCTAATGGACTACTGTCGTGTTGTTTGACTGGTGTGTCGCCGCCGCCGCCGCCGCCCGTGGCATAGCCGCCAAAGATTAGAGCACGTTCTGCACGCATACCCACATACAGGGTGCGTGTAATGAGTATGTAAGCGGCGCACAATATGAGCAGCGGCAGCACAAGCAACACCAAGTCTAAGAAAATATTGTAAGAGCGCTCATACGCAATGGTGTCCTCGGGCCATTGTTCGCGACATTTGCGTAAACCTGTCAGAGAAAGAAAAGTACCAAAAAACCAAAAAAAAAATTAGCAAAAGATTTAATACAACTTCGTCAAAGTGCACTGCGTATTAAAATAATGTAAATGGCGACATTTTGCGTTTTATTATTTCATAAAGAAATGAGCGTAAGTTTAAATGAAATTTATTTAGTCTGCAACTTAATGCCATAAAAGCTCTAAGTATTATTTAAGTAAGAGATAAGACCCAACACTTGTAGCTTAAGGCCCTCAAAGCAACCGAAAGCAAGCAAATAAACTTACACACAAACAAGCGCAAATATTAGAACAGAGAAAAAGCCATTTCAACTGTCACTGAAACGCTTTGCGTAATTCGTTTGCTTTTTGGATTTTGTTGTAGTATTTACTTAGCCAACAGCACTGGAATACACAGAAAAACTAATTTTATTTGTTTGCAAGCTATTTGAATGGAACGCGGCGCGGCGTGTTGATATTTGAATAGCAACCGCAAATAACAATTTATATTGACCATATCAGTCGCCGAATTGCGGTTATAAAGGTTTATTTGGTGCTGAATTTGCACGCCGCAAATTTGTGCTGTTTGGTTGAGTGTAAATAAAGCAGATTAAATTGCGCGAATTTCGGGTACGGAAGTAATTTATTTTGTAAAACTGGGAAAAAGCATTGCGGGTGTAAATTTAGACAGAAATTTCAATATTTTTTGTGAAATATTTGCTTAGTTTCTACTTTTGCCCTTGCTTATGTTTAAGACAATAGCCTGATTCGCCAATAGCCTGAGCGCTCAATGATTAAACTGTGCGACAAAAAATGAAAATAATAATATTCTAATGAAATCAGAGGCCAAGTAGACTGGTGGCAGAAATAATAGACTCACCTTATTTCGACCAGTTTTTGCTATATGTCCTTGATTTATTTAATGTATTTTTTTTTATAAAAGTCTAGCTAGTTATACAACAAACATAAGAGCTTCAAGATAGCTATTAACTAATTCAAATCGACGGTACTTTGGCAAAACCTTGTATCTCAAAATACTCTCGAAGAACACTCTCTAAGAAAAACCGTTTTCTATTAAAAACATAAAATCGCCTTTAATAACTTTTTTTTACTGAATATTAAAGATTAAGGAACTTTTAATTAACTAAGAATAATATATAATGAATTGTAGTGTATTTAGACCTACTTTGAATTAACTCTACGAGATACGAAGAAACAGTGATTTCGAGATACGAGGTGATACCAAAGTACCGTCGAAATTCTTGCATAGTAACACTTATCGAAGCACAAATACAATAACAGTCTGAGATTAACCACAACCTTTTTAACAATGCTTTATTGGCTGCTCTCAGCGGGAAACCTTTACCGATGCGAAATAAAAACTCTTCTTAGTCAAGGAGGAACATAAATGAGAAATAAAAATAAATCTCCTTTGGTTGTATACGTACACTTTATATGTATTTAAGTACAACTCATCTTGTACCTGCTCTTTACTGCTGGTAACTATATATCCGGGTACTCGGATACAGATAACCGCCTAGCCGTCTACCCACGTACTTGGATAAAGATAACACTATATCTAGGTACCCAGATAAAGGCAACCTACTACCTGGGTACCCAGACAAATATAACCCGTTATTCAAGTAACTGTGTAAAGATAACCTTCTGTCCGGCTACCCGGATGTATATTACACCCTTTATCGTGGTAATTCATTACCTCTAGTATAAGGAGTATATCTAAAATTACATGATAAACCATACGGAATAACTGACCAACTTGTCGCCATTTATGTAAACCGAAATTGAAAAATATAAATAAATTATCGTTTATTATCGAGATATATGTAATGTATTAGTTTTACTTTTCTACGTTAATTTTGTTTAATGCTGCAAATAACAAAAGTAAACGTATTTTTTAAAATGGCAGTAGGCAGCTCCATTTATATGCGACAAATAACCGAAACAAGCAACCAGGTGAAGGAAATGTATTTATTCAAATAAAATATAAAGCTCAGTGAAGGTGATTTATTTCTTGAAATTAAATGTAGATCTCAGAGGGCAACCAAAATATCTTTATGTGACTTTTAGTGTAATAAAGTGCAATATCGTTAATTTTTGGTAAATTTTCAATAACAAGTTTGCATTTGCACATTTTTTAATTTTTATAATTTTTATAAGCTTTTATAAAAAAATACTAAACATTAAATAAAGCAAAGACATATGGCCAAACACAGTCAAAATAAGGCGAGTTATTATCTCTGCCACCAGTGTAAAGTAAACTTGCGTAATTTGTATTCCTTTTTGACGTAGGGAGTTTTAAAGTCTTTTAAATTTGAGGGTAATAACTAACTCAAAAAATTATTAAATGCAGTGCAATATGGAATGATAGTATGGATACCATGAATATTAAAAGGTAAAATTCTAAGAGGAAATTTTCAATACCTATTAGACCTTGTTCGCCAAAAAATGTTATTTTATTAGATTCTACAGAATTTTCAATTTGAGAACGAAAACTTAGCAACGTAGTTTTACTTTACTTGGCTGCTAATTTACACACACAAACTATAAAAAAATTTAATAAATTTCATGCATAAATACTTATGAAAACATTTATTGTATGACCCACCTTGCCGACTTGTTGGCATCAATTGACTGAAAACTGCAATTGGAGTCATGCAAATAATGCTGCCGAACCAAATGAATCCAATAATACGATAAGCATGATTAATCGTTTGCCATGTCCTTGAGCGTAACGGATGGCAAATTGCATAATAACGTTCACAAGAAATTGCAACTAAAGTCCATGATGAGACGGCCACAGAGGCAGCTGCTTGGCAATAGAATATGAAAGTAGAGAAAAAAAAATCATACACGTGTATATAATATGGCTGTAAGTATAAGAAGATTATCCGTCAACAACATGTAAAACATTTCTTTGATTCAAGCAGCAATAAAGTATGTAACGACCTCATAACCGAATGATTTGTGTCTAGTAACAAAATAAGTTAAGTGAATGTAAATGAATATTTATTCTTGGTAATGCACATATGTATGTAAGCTCGTTGATGATATATCTGACTTAAATATAAATAAAACCACCTACCCTCTTGATCGCATTAGAGTATTCGCTTGCTTAGCTTGTTATGGGATAAGGTGGAAAGGATATTGCAGATACTGAAGAGCTTTTGCAAGGTCGAGATACCTGGTATTCTCTTAGTTAGTCTTAAGCTTAGTTAGCTCAGCAAGAATTGAGAGAGAAACTTCAAATTCAAGTCTTCTAGTAATTTCTAACCATGAATGCACCGGATGTAGTCTGAAGATTGTGAAAAGGTACTGAAATTCAACTCTCTGCAGCCTGAAATTTTACGAGATCTAAACATCTGAATTTTACCGATATCCTACGTCCCTCCTCAAAGTCGAGACAAAAAACTTGGACAATTGTCACATTCATTTGCGAATTTGCCACAGTTGTTCATCTCGAGTGCGGACAGGTCCTTCTGCACTTGGTCCTTCCATTTTGTTCGGGGTGCCCCTGCTTTCGTTGTTCATGCAAAGGTGCCGAACCTAATGATCTTTTCATTGTATTTTTATGCCTCAACTATGTCCATGTCGTAAAATAGAACGGCTACAACGGAACAAATTTGCTGATTAGTAGGATGATGTTAGGTTAAATGCGTTCCAACCGTGGAGAGAACTCGAATAAATACGAGACAATTCACTAATCGCCTCTTCTGTGTATACAAAATATTCTCCGTAGGAATCCCAGAGAGGAACAAATGGGAAGGTGGCAAAGATATGGACAGTTGCTCGACGGGTTTCTACACAGCTTTCGCTAACATGGCCCCATTCGCGTATTCAGCCCCAATTAATCGCTATGAAGGAGGCTGCACTGTTGCTAATAGCCTCCGGTTCTTCACAACGTCAAAAGTAGCTACCGAGTTCACAGGAGTTTTCAAGGAGCTGCCACCGAAATGCTCCTTAACCATCGTATAGGTCGCTGTACGCATGATAACTCCATGACCACCGAGCTGGCATTTAGTGGAACGATATTGCAAGAAAGAACTTGGCATACCGTCATCGAGGACATAAACACCTAGTGGGACCCGGAAAAAACCTACCAGACTGCAAGGCACATCAGGGCAAGAGTCGATGAAAAGTGATCGGAAGCTCTCCAGCTCTCTATGATTAAGTAGTAGTGGTGCAACAACCGCATACTGCCTTCTGGTAGCACTTGGTAGGTTAGTATATCCAACCACGTACTTATTTTATAGATTACGTATATAATAAAGCTCAATCGGTGTTTCAAATTCGAAGAGAATAAGGGTATTAAGAGCCCGTCAGTAGTATCACACGGGACTTTTTCGCCTAATTGTGCCTTTTTGCTTTTCTTGCGCAGTAGCAGCTTTTTAACCTAACCGACTCTTTCGTTGGCATTCGTATTGCGCTTACTATTTACGTAAAATTGAAGCGCCAAGAGGATATAAATTTCAGCATTTATCTGCCATAATTTTCCATTAAAAAAAGGGCACTTCCCACATTTACTAAGTGCTTGGCTGAGCCAAATGGAAGGACTTTTGAACGGCAGATGGTTTAAGCGACATAAGCTTTTTCATGGCGTACAGTCGAAGGTTTTATATTGCCTGCAAAAAAAATTTTTCTGAAGATACTAGCTGCCTTCGCTAAAAGTAAATTCATACACATAATTGCACTTATTCATGGAAATTATAAGCAATGCTGACTTATTGACAGCAAACGTTAAAAAATACTGTTATGTTATTGTATCGTGACTATAGTATGGAAAGGGCGCATCTAACATCGTCACAGAAACGCAAAAAAGCCATAACTAACTAAAATGTTTTATTTCATAAAACGATGTGGTGACATATAATTCGATGAAATGCATCATAATCAATCAAAAGTGAATTTTAGGATTTTTAGTGTAACTTCGCTAACGAGACTTATCTCTTGAAGGAAATATAGTCAATTAGAAAATCGATAAAAATTTCGATAACAAAATTGCTTAGAAAATCGATAAAAGTATCGATAACAAAATCGACTAATAATCGATAACAAGATCGATAAATAATTGATAAATAATCAATAAAAATCAATATATAAGCGATAAATATAGATAAAAAGATCTATAACAATATCGATAACAAAACCAGTAACAATATCGATAAAACAATCGATAAAAAAATCGTTAAAAAACATCGATTACAAAACTATTAACAAATTCGTAAAAAATATCGATTATTATATCGATAAGTTTCGAAGATATAGATAAAAATTTTGGTAAACAAATCGGCAAAAAAATTTCGATAACAAAACCAATAAAAATACCGATTATTATATCGATAAATCCCTAGAATCCCAAAAATCTCTTAAATCCAAAAATAGTTCACAGATTGAGTCTCTTTGTATCCATCTACATCCTTTTCTCTATAGTTACCTTTATTTTAATCTTTCTTCTTCTATATTCATCTTTACTGTTATCGTTATCCTCTTCTTCCTCTTTTTCTTTATATTTGTCTTTTTTTTACTTTTAGGTTTATCATTTTCTTCATCTATATATTCTCTTCACCTTTTCCCTTATAGAGGTAAAGTGTTTAAATTTACTTTGATCTTCGTTTTTGCCTCCATCTTTACGCATCTTTGTTTTTTTTACCTTTGCCGTTATCCCTTTCTTTATCATGTACGTAGTCACCTTTACTTTCATTCTTGTATTGGTCTTTTTCTAAGTGTTAAGCTTTAACCTTTTATTAGCAAGTGTTTGTTAAATAATACCACTGATACACACAAGAAGCACTTTTTCAGGCCCAACCATTTCCGTGTGAAATTTCCTTTGAATTTGCCAATTAAAACATGAAAACTCACTTCCCATTAATGTATGGAAGCAGGTGTTATTGAGCTAAAAATTGAAATTTACGCAACAAGATAACAACTTAACATAATTTCAACTTAATTTGATTCATTTCAAGAAAAATTTATACGAAACTTATACAGACACATAATTAATTAGCTGAATAACCGCTTCAGCTTTGAAGAGTTTTAAACTGCAAAGTTACGCATATGGAGGAGAAAAGTACAACTTGATAATCGTTGCTTTTGCCACACTTTATTCGCTTTGAATTAACAATTCCTCCGAACTACAAAAGCTAACGAATCATTTAAATAAGAATTGCATGGAAATTTTATTTGGCTATGTCGTAGCCAAGTATTTTGTGAAAGGATGTCTGGTATATAAATCTTAAAGAAAGTAAAAATCTGTATGATTATTCCCAACAGATTTTCGAAGAAAAAAAACAATTCTTTTTTTTTATTGTATAATGAGACCAGCGAGAAAGAAGAAATTCACTTTACGATAAGCACAAAAGTAAAATTTATAATCTTAGCGCCGCATTAAACATATACATATGTAAATACTGGATAATAAATGCACTCGAAATTTATGGCCAGGCAAGGTTTTATTTATTTTAGGTAAATAGCTAATAAAAAAAGACAAAAGAAGAAAGGAAGAAGAAGAAGAAGAAGAAGAAGAAGAAGAAGAAGAAGAAGAAGAAGAAGAAGAAGAAGAAGAAGAAGAAGAAGAAGAAGAAGAAGAAGAAGAAGAAGAAGAAGAAGAAGAAGAAGAAGAAGAAGAAGAAGAAGAAGAAGAAGAAGAACTGAGGACTAACAACTGGCGTACTTTGCTTAATTCGGTCAAAATCGCTAAGGCGGTTAGAGATTTGATTAAGAAGAAAATCAAGTGAAGGCTATTAATGCTAGTGAGGGCTTTTACGCGGGTTTGTTGGACGCTTTTCGTGCACATGCTACCCTGAACTAATCAAGAGAAGCATTTGTTTCCTAATCCAGGTAGTAGCAGCAGAAAATGTAAGTAGATTGCTAAAAGTTTTACCCTCTCTGCATATGACTGAAATTATTTTTAGATAAATGTTTTTGTGTTAATATCCTCTTAAATCTAGAGGAACTACAAGTAAAATAGTATGGGATTGATAGTAGGTTATGACGCTATACTAAAGGGTCGGAAAGCTCCAGAGTTGGAGTTATTTCTTGAAATGAGAATACTTGCCAGATCTTCTCCTACTCAAAAATTTAAAATCAACTTAAGAAACGGCCCTCAAGGTAACGAAAAGTTAAGGAACTATCACCACTGAGCAGACAAAGAAAAGCAGCCCTTCAATGGAACGCTGAACTTACCAAACTTCAGAACGGTGCGACGTTAAAATCCTGATTAAGATATTTCTCACAGAAAAAAAATTTAGGATTGAATGTAACTTTGCCTTTAAACTACATAAATACTTAGTTCAAAGGTAATATAAGTACAGCTACATATATACTATAATGCATTTTAGGCGTGCCCGACAACTTTTTTCTCGGTCAGCACACGATAAGCACCCCATGGACCTTCCTTATTAAGATGGCATACGAAGTGTGTAATTGTTTTCTTTTTTTTACTCAAATAGTGTTACTAAAATTTGTATGATCCTGTGTTAAGTGGAATGTTGCAGAATGTGTGTGGATATATATATTTGGGCAAGAAACAACAGCAATTTAAGTGAGAATCTTTGGAAGGTCCTTGCGGATAATGACTTCAATCCGATGATTATGACGAACGATATCTCGGAATCGTGCCGGAGGCTATGTTAATAGATTCCCCCAGAACAGAAAAAAAATTTCAAAAGGAAAGTTTGAAATATGTATGTTTTTTGTTGACAATGCTAGACACTACACATATGTATGTACGTGAAGCTTGCTCACAATGTCAGCAAAAACAAAAGTATTACAAATGAACGCGATTTCTTAACCACTCGAAGCTTGCCCCTTATTACTTTAAAATTTAATAGCCTATAAAAGTACATAATGCATTTTTCTAAAATAAAAAAAAAAATTATTTATGGCATTTTTTTTTAACTGCATTCTTACAATTTTTCTGAAAATTAAAAAAGAAGAAACTTAATTTTAGTGAAAGTGTTTATACAACATTTAAAATTTTTCTTGTGACCTATTTTTAGTTTTGTGGGGGATCCCTATAACAGTTTTCAACTAGTTTTTGTTGTGTAACATTTATAAGCAAGGACAGGGTTCGATGCCCCTTTCTTCAAAAATGCTATTTTGCATAATACAATTTAATATAAACAAATACAAATTTAAAAATCGGGCTCGAAAATACTTAAATCGTTTAAGCATTGAACGGTGTTTCGAACCCTTATTTTGATTTCAGACCACGGCGCGGCGGCTAGGTCGAACCGGATTAAAATGCCGCATCATTGAAAACGTGATAGGTCGCTAGGATCCTTCTCGGGCATATGAGGGTTAACGATATCTAATTTATCTGAAACCTTGTTTCTACTGTCCACTGTAATGTACGCATAATGCGCAATAGAGCGACAATACGCAAGAACTAAAATAAATTTGTGTATGCTTTAAAATTGAAAATTCCTTCAACACGACTTAAATAGAACGTAAGAAATCCACATAAAAGATTATAAAGTAAAAATTTGAAAATGAAGAAATAAAAAAAAACTCCAAACCACGCAATGCCTTGTTTGCATTTTAGTGACATACCATTTGGCTAAAAATATGCAGCTACGCAATTTGAAAAGTTTTGTTGCGGCGAATGCCTTAGGAGTCTCTTAAAGTAACCAGGCATTGCGGTTATTCACATCACTGAGCAACAAAAACTAAGGTTAGTTAGCGTGGTCCCTGCTGCCTAGCAAAGGCGACCTCTTTTACTTGTGCTTTCGTTAATTTATTGCATTGGACATTAGGTGTGAGCAAGAAATGTAAATAGACACATACAAATGTATCTGATTTCCGAGGAAGGGTAGAAACTGTAACCACCGCAGAGGAAAGTGTATGGTTACAATATTTCCATTCGGGCTCCAGGGACTCACAAACAAACACTCATTACATACATACATATGTACAGCTTTGCCTATGTGTGTATACATATGTATGTATATGTGAATTTGTTTCTTTCAGCTGTTAAATAAATCAAAAATGCCAACCCCTTCCAAGTGTTGCAAATCCGTTTGCGCGACAGGGAATTCGTTTATGCTGCTGGCAATTTTCGGAGAAGAAAAATTCCTTTACGTCAAAAGGAGCGTAAACTTTTTAAGAGCTTGACACATTTCCAAGCGAGACTACTGCATATATATAGAAAATACATTACAACTTAAGTACATACATACATATTTTTGAAAATACATAACTACATATGTACATATATGTATGTATGCGCAAATATTTATTTATTTCCTGTCACAATCATTTACTTACTCACCTTGCGAGAATTGTATGAGTTTGCAAAAGAACTCGCCGAAGATGAAATGGCGCAACAGCGTGCCTACCAGCGTCACCGGCATACAGAGTACGCCCAGCAATATGTCGGATATGGCGAGATTAAGCAAAAACACATTCGTTATGGTGCGCATACGACGATTCTGCGCGAGCGTTGATATCACCAACAAATTTCCAACAATGGCAAAGAAGAATATAACACTGTAGCAGGGTATAAGCCAAATAGGAATCTCCGAACTTATGCGCGGCGTTACCACATTGTAAGTATCGTTGCCATCGACCGCACTTTCATTGTTGTGCTCATAGGTGAAAAGTGCTGTTGGTGTTGATGGCGGAAGTAGCGGTGCGGAGGTTGTCGTCGTCGTATTTCCGTTCACATGCACGGTCTGTTGTAGCAGCTCAAGGCTAATGGCGGCAGCTGAACGGAGGATTAGTTGTGGCGAATATGCAGAAGATTTTGTATTTGTCACTGCTGCTGATGCTGATGCTGATGTGTGGGTGTGGGTGTGGGCGATAAGTAGAGCGGATGTGTTTTGTTGTTGGCTGAGCCCGTGTGCAAAGTTCGAAGAGTTCGCGCTGCGATAGTCTTTAGGGGAAATGAACATTTTGAAATCGTCGGCACTGCGTGGAATGTACTGATGTGGAATGTACACTATGTATGTTGCTATGTATTGTTCTTTCGAATTTCAATTTAATTTGTGTAGCGGATGGAAAGTAAAAGGTTTCAAAGTGCTTTGACTAAGCCAAACGCAGTTTTATAATACGTTTAAGCGCGGCGAAGGAGTCGCATATTTTTGGTTGTTCGTTTAGTTTGGAAAATTATTGAGTTGAATTTTTATCTTGCGTTGCTTTAAATTTGTATCTATCAAATAATAATCTGTATAGACTGCGAATAATTTTTTTATTCTATATTTTTCATAAAAAAAACTTTTATACGCAATACAGAAACTATCCACAGCTTATCCAAGACGCTGGCAGGCGTCGAACAGTAACTAAGCTTCTATGTAGGGCTTTTCATCATTGAGTTAGCTAAACGGATCTTCTAAGACCGTTCACAGTAACGGCCTGTACTTTAAGTGCCCTTCTTATTTTCAGACAGAATGTGGCCTTCGCCGAAGCGCAACATTATTTTAGATTCAAAGGGAAAAGTTATAAACGTAAATTTCTTTGACATATAATAAAAAAAATGTTTTTTTCTTTTAAACAAAATTGTAGTTGTTAATTGAAGCAAAAATAACACGCTGTTGCACGTAGCCTTTAAACCTATTCGTTCGGTTAATTAGAAAAGTGTAAGCTACTGAACAAATTAAAATTCAGCTGCCACCTGTGCGTGAACGTTTAGAGCTTTTTACTTATCTTGAGTATGCAGTTTTACAGCCTGCTCAATTTTAGCACAATTAAGTTGATTTTTGAAATTTTTTTTCGGTGCGCATTTTCTCCATATAAAAAAATCATCGAACATTCTTCGTATGGAAGGACATGACTGACATTGCCAACAAATAAAAATTGTCAAAAATCAACGGTAAGTGCCAGCTACATAAAACTTGCACTTTATTATGCTAAAATTGAGTGGACTATACAACTGAATATTCAAAAACTTTCTAGGAAATACAAATATTTAAAAAGCTCGGATTTTTTACGAAAATTTGTTGAATTCTTTTTTCTTTAACTTACTGTGATATGTATGTATGTAGGACAATATGGGTGTCAAAGAAGCTTTAAGAAGATTGCAGTTTGAAGATATCTTAAAAGGGTTGCCACATCGTTGAAAAGTTAAATTTAATTAAATTGTGTACAAGTTACCTATGTAAATCAAATATTTAATTGCGGCTGGTAAATGAAAATGTATTGAGAAATTTTTAGTTTAAATATCTAGAATATTTTTGCTGTTTAACATTACATTTAATTCAAGTTATTTAGTAAGTGAAATGATTTATTTTAGTATGGGTATCAGCCGAAATGGTTTCTAAAAGACTTTATTTCAAACTACGTGTGGAAGGATTGCCACCTGTTTAAAAAGTTGAATTGAGCTTGAATCAAGGGAATTAAGTAATTGAAATATGTACCGCTATATGGGAAAACAAAATTAATATCTTTTATTTTCTTGGCTGAGTTTAATGCCGATTTCGTTTCTACCGAAAAATGCAACATTTTCCACGCCCTCTACGCACAAACACTAAGAAGAGGGCGATGAGAAGGCAACATTTTTTGTAGAAACGAAATCGCCGTAAGTATGTATGCTGAGTTTTATTGAAATAAATTAGTCCATCTGTTCAATGAGTATTTAAAGTTACAGCCCAATAAACGATGAAAATATTATTTCATTGGCTATTTTTAGCTCAAATGAATATTATTCGACGTTGTTGACGCTTCGTACTTCTTTGTACGTTTTCTGTAGAGTGACTTTGTAATATACATACATAATTATTTTATTGTTCGACTGAGCTGAGTAGTTGTGCATACACATGTTTGATGCAGAAAAACTAAAAGTCATGAAATTAAAAATAGTTTTGCTACTTTATTCTCTCATAACTTTATTGCCTACTAGTTATTATTGTAACACAACCACCTGTCACGCATACGTCTGTGGGTGCCATAATAAAATAATTCACGAATGATAAAATTAGTAGCGAAAGGTTGTGTTTTTAATTATAAGTTTTTTAGAAACATATTCAACTCTTTGTTGGAATAAAACACACCATTATAAAATCCACGAGTGTGAAAATTATGAACTGTACATAAGTTATGTTACTAGACAGCGAACAATGGAATGTGCCATCAGGACCAGGAGCAAGATAACACCAATATCTCAAGTGTTGTTGTTGAATTTATACAAAACATAAAAAGGGTTAGTAAAGTGCTGGATGCAACCTTGCTGTGAAGGTCTCAAACAGATGTGAACTATCTCTTAGTTTGTTTGTTTGCGACATCAGTTAAATTGTATATAAACAAATGGGTAGGAGCAGATTTAAAGAGCTCAGGTGTTCGTCTCTCACACGTTTCTGCCAAAAGTCTTACACCTAATTCTTCCGATGTCTCACCCGTTTCGAGGCAGGAAGAAACAAGTGGGTTGTCATATATGCCGATTATTTACAGAGAGATATTTTTGGCCCCAGAGAAGTGGCCGATCAACAAATTCACAAGTTGGCTGTAATCCTATCTGAATAGTAAAAGCAAGCACATGCTAAACTTTCCGAGATTGAGGACATCATCGATGTATCGACTATTTAAGCTAGGGAACGAGAACTCGTTCTAGTTTTGGTTTAGTTCTGTCAAGAGCGTTCCCACAAAAGGATCAAATGGGAACAAAGGTATTGCGAGCAGTTTGAATGAGAACAAAATTAGAAATAAAAAGTTCATGAACATGAAAAAAAACTTTCAGGAACGTTCTCAAGAAGAAAAGAATGAGAACATACTTTCGAGAACGTTTTCAACGACGAACAAATAAGAACAAAAGTCTGGGGAACATTCTGCGGAGAGAAGAAAAAGGAGAAAACACGTTTTGAAAACTTAACGTTAAGTATGAGAGGGGCGTGTGTGTGTTAGGATAAAAATCAATTCAGTGAAAGCCACGATTGTCAATTCTATGCCAGGGGAAATCTAGATCACTAAAGCTTGCAGATCGTTTATCATTAGGGTGAACTGTGCTTTTATGGAAAATTTTTTTTATTTTCCCTGCAAGAAAAGTTCGTGTCTTAAATTTTGCGTTGACTTAATTTGAATTATTATCCTTCAGTTCTTCTTTGATTAATATTAATGTTAAAATATTTCAAACTAAATAATGAACGCCATGTGAACAATTTTGTTCTCGCTTCCATTCTACGCAAACAGTTTAGAGAAGATTGGTTCCCGTTTCGTTCTCTTCCAGAAAGTTTCCTAGGCTTTAGTTCGCTCGCGATTTGTTTTTGTTCCCATTTTTTTCTTTTTGAAATTTTCCGAAGGTACTGTTCTTATACAATTTCCATTGAGAACGTTCTCGACAGTTTTGTTATCATTGTTGTTCTCGGTCCCTGATTTAAGCATTGATATATTTCCGACGTCCCTACTCCCTACCCAGTGATCAGCAACTGTCAACTTCACTAGGTCTGATACGCCGAAAATTCTCTAGCCACCTCATTTAACAACTCAAATTTTGTTAAAAAATAAACCTTATTATCTATTTCTAACAGGCGGCACACACCGTGCATCTGACTCCTGAGTAGGTTTGGATGTGTTAGATAAAAAAAATTTGTGTTAGTTACACCGACATGACTCTGGTATGACTCTGAATGACTCAACTGTGTGTAGTCGAAAGGCGAGTCAACACGTACACAAATGATTCTCGAGTCAGACGTATCGTGTTTGCCGCCTATAAGTTATAGGCTATAACAAATATTCTGTTACAGTGTTGATATTTACAAAATTTTCAACGTATTTTACCAACCTTCAGATGTAGATTCCATTTGTTTTTGTTGGATTTCCTTTACTTTTACAAGTTTATAACTGTTCCCTTTTATCTATCATAATGTTGCGCTTTGGCGAAGGCCGCATTGCGACTGAAAATAAAGAGGCGACTTCGGGTACAGGCCGTTACTGTGAACTGTTTTTCGCATCTTAGAGGATTCATTTAGCCAACTCCATGATGAAAAAGCCCTATATATAAATTTTTTCCCCCAATCTGATCCTCAATGAAAAAGGCGGGGCTCTAAGGCACTAGCAAAAGTAGGCCCGTTGCTGAAGTTTGCTGAAAACCCAGCAACACAATTTTAATGTACGGGTATGCCTAAGTTGCCTGCAGAAATAATTGATTTATGGAGATGTCGAAGTCTACTCAACTCTAGTCAACTTAGCGGCATTGGTGGAAACCCAAGTTTAACGCAGCGTTCATATGACCAAGGGTTTTTTTTTACAATTTCCTACTGAATAATATACTAAATGAGGTTCTTTAAAAATGAAACGTGTCCTTCAATATCATTGAAAATTTAAAAACATTTACTAAATAAGTATTTGTGCCTGGTTCCGACAAAAAAAAGCATAATATCCACTAGGATTATGAATTTTATGAGAAGCTTCTTCATTGAAAAAGTGCACTCGAATAATTGCCCTGATTTGCTCAGGCCCAATTGCCTTTAAAAACGTTTTTTTTTTATCGGTTTGTTCTTCCACAGCCTGGCCACGAACCTTAACCCCAACTTTAAAAAATTTTTGCTATAAGAGAAAGTTTCTGTTTAGTATAAATCTGCGCAAAATATTTCTGTTTTCATAATTTTTCACACTTTCATCATTATCTCATCTCACTTGATAGATGTAAATTTTTATTCACATTAAGCTGGGCTAATTAAACACTCACGCTCGATTAAGTTTTACGGTACGTTCTTTTTTGTGATTTTAAAGTGCCACTTTCAAATAGTTAGAAATTTCTGTGTGAGAGATGTCACATGCACGTGAACGTGTATTATTTTTTGGTTAACAAAATTATTAAATAAGTGATCCGAAACTGTTTTACGCATCACTTTGTTGCTTACAATTTTCTAAGTTTGCTGAGTTTTCACAAAATTTTGTTATAATTTTTAATTTCTTAATATACTTTCACTGGTATAAGTGAACTTTTCACATATACCTATTTCATATATTTTTGTTACCCGACCGGCTGAAATGTGTTTGTATATGGCGCACTTCCTTGTCAGTTGTTAAAAATGATGAATGTTTGAAAAGTTTGGACTGCTGCACAGAGACTGTTTTGTAAATACCATTCCAAATCCACTGGTGCTTGTTTATGCATTATTGCATAATTGGTTGACATATAAACGTTGTAAATTGTTTCCATCTGACTTGTTAATATGTAGTTATTTAATTTAACTAAATAGTAATTTTTTCATATTTTTGCACTTTGCATTTATGCTTAACTTTTACTCACTTTAACTATGTACACTAATAAATATGTGCATGTGGTATTATTAACCTAAATTTTTTCTAAAACCCATACACAATAATATTTCGCATGACAGCTTTCTTTACACATACGTATGTACATAAGTGTACTATATTTATTTTATATACTTTTAAATATCCTGAATGACTTGATTTGCACTTGTGCTACTCTCCGATGGTGTAAAGTTAACTTCGCAACGCGCTCATCTAAACTGAATCAGTGTTTTCGTTATGTTGACTATTTATGTGAAAGCAACTTCGCAGCATCTGTAGGTGGAAATTATGAATGAAACGCCGAGAAATGCTAGCGCGCCCGAGTAGCCTTTGCAGTTCGTGTTCTCACGATTGTCAGAAAGGATACTGTTATATGAACAGAAAGTCTACAGAGTTGATTAACATTTGCCTGTTGCCATATTTTAAATGAGAAATTTGGTTATTAAGTAGTAGAAGTCACGTAAATAAAAATAATTTTCCGAGAAAAACTGACACAAAGTAAATGGACAAAAAAAAGCGCTGTTCTAAGCTATACAGTAGTGTTCAGATAAAGTTTACCATTACTAAAAATTAGGGCATTCGCTTGCGTTACGATTGTATGGTCGTGAATGCTGTACGATGAGAGCTAAAGGTGAAATGTCATAGAGCAAGTTGCAGTAACTGGAAGACCGTTGCCAAGGAAGTTGAAGCTTGGAAAATAATTGTGGAGCTTAGACTTCTCTCTCGCCTGGTGCAGACTGCATCATACTCGGTGAGAATGTGTAGTGGTGTCTAGCTGGTCGAGTTGTAGAATCGGAAAGGATCATTTGCCCACATTTCCAGCTAATGTAGATGTCATCTCAGTATGCAGTGTCCCGCAAGGAACATGCTGGGTTTATAAGCATCCCTCTAGCGAGACAGTGCGCCACCTCGTTACCCTCTATTTCTCTATAGCCAGGTAGCAATCTTACCAAATGTTATTGCGTCTGCCAAGGGAGTTAAGCTTTGCTATGCATGCCATGGTTAATAATGATTTGACTTCATAAGTTAGGAGAGCCTTGAACTCTATCCGGCTGTTGTCGTTTCTGTACCCTCTACTCATGATTGTCTCCGCACAAAGATAGATGGCGTAATCTTCTGCTTGGAAGATTAGCGGATATTTAGACATCGACCCAGGGATCTTGGCCCTGGATCCGAAAATACCAGTCCATATTCCTTAAGGGGTCCTCAAGCCATCTGCGTACCAAAGAAGGGTGTCGATTTGATGCATATTTTCTTTACATCTCTTCTCAAAGTTTAGGGTTCTTCCCAGCGTTGCGCGATTGAAAATCCTTTCTCTTTCTTAATCCGCTTTTAATTAGTCTATTTGATTTGTGCTTTTATTCACTGAAGAAATAAGAAATAAATTTTTTCTGAGATTTGATTCGTCGATCAAGTAAAAAAAAATAAATTTTTTTGTGATTCCAGTCCTCGGACAAACGGAAAAAGTAAAAGTTATTTCTGATTTCATTCATCAACCAAATACAAAATTAATATTATTTGAGATTGAATTTGCATTGGAAAATACTAGAAAATCGTGCTTGCCTAATTTTTTTGTTGGAAAATTACGATTCTAATTGATTTGTTCAATAAATTAAATCACAAATAAATTTTGTTTTTCAATTGTCCGACGGACCTAATCACAAATAAATGTCATATAGTATTTGGTGGAGGAATTAATACTATTCATCACTTGATTCTTAAAACAAAAAATAAATTTATATTATTTAGGATTTAATACAACTTTCGATTAAAAAATCAATTTCATTTTTGGATACTTCTGACTACGTAAATATGTCATCTCTAGGGAGCCCGATAGAGAACTGTTGGGCTAAGGGATAAGAAAAATTTAAAAATTAAGTAACTGTTCAAAAGAGCAAAACTTCTTCTTCTTCTTCTAAAGCTTTTATTAAAGCCCTTGCTTGGGCACACGAAGTACATAAATATTGATACAAATATTATTTTGTATTTTTTTCAATAATTTAGTTTGTAAGTTAGCTACTTTTTAAAATGAATACGTTACGCATACGCCATGTTGCACAAATATCCGATTTTGGAGTATTGTAATTTTTTTACGAAAATGATCCTGTATTGGTATTTAGTTTTAAAGATTTTTGGTTTTGTATATTATTCATCTTTATTCTCAGATTTGTTTACTTTTTATCTGGCACTAGTGCATTTCAAAGAATATTGTATTAAATTAGAAAAGAGAAGTGCAATACATATTCCTATACATACATAAATACAAACAAATTTATGTCAATCATTTATGCCTTTGCTTTTCTTCCTTTAGTATATTCCACGTAGTACAACATCTAACTACTAGTACATTAGGGTATCCCAAAAATGTTGTTTTGAAATGAACGTGCGACCACATCACCAACACACAAAAACGAAACGAACCGAGAGACCTACAGTAGGTAGGGCCAAGGTCTTCACCAGATCCACGTTCGACGTACCGATAATTCCGTATATATCTATGTGAACAGGGAGGACTTCGTCAAGTGGCCAAAAGATGTTCTATGGACAAAGTAAATAGTAATTCTGGATTAAAAAATTAAATCGTATGAAAAGATGAAGGTCGCTAAGCCCCAAACGACTGGTCAAAGAAACTTCTTTAACATCACTGAAAAGTTTAACGCTCTAATGAAAAAATATTCTGTATGCAGCTCGTCTACATCAGTGAAGAAAACTCATTTTACTGGAATCCCAAGAAGATTTTGATTGCCTAAATATTTAAAATGATTATTTAAATAAATATAAAAATTGGCAGGTATGTAATTACGCACTATGATCGTTCGCAACAAAAACTAAATCAAAGCCATTTTATTCAATGGCAATTGTTAAATAAAAAAAAAACACACACTGGCGGCAAGAAAAAAAAAATCAATCAATCAAATCAAATCAAATTAAAATACAAATTTTTTTTGCTGGACATTCCTTTCCATTGCATATGATAATTATTGAAAGTTATAAAAACGATCAGCTTTTTGTGTTCGCATACGCAACGAACTTGCAAAGTAGAGGAAATTGAGAGAGCAAAATGACATTTCATGTTGAGGGAAAGCTGCTAGTTTCTGCTGGAAAAATTTTAGCCAACAGCAGTTTGCCAACAGCAATTGGCCAACAAGAGAACAGGTGATCAAAAACAGCTGTTTAGAATTTACGCAAATCTCTTTTTGTTGTGTGCCAAATTCAAAAATTAAGTCTGATTTGAAGTAAAATAGGGCCAAAAAATGGCACGGTTTGAGCCAAGTTGGCAGCCCGTGATTTGGCATCAAACTAATAGAAAGAAAATTAACGTGACTATTAAAGCGCACGTTTGTACTGAAATGCTTTACAGAATTTATTGAATTTACTTTATAATTCACTGGAACTGGTTAACGCACGTACTTTACGTAAAGTATTTAGTAATTTGTAATATGGACATAAAAGGAAATAGCGAGCAAGAAAGTGAATAGCGTTACAATGCATAAAGTACATAGCTTTATGTGATTACGGGTGCTAAACTCTTTACACGGCTTTGTTCTATTATTTTTTTACACTCGAGCTATTTGATTATGCATGAGCTGCAGTGAAAAGTTTGCGCTTTTGCCATTGCAACATTTGTATCAAACAAGACCGTTGAAATGATGTTAAGTCGCACAAACTTACATACAAATTAATTACCTCTCATCTACGTGCTATTAAACAAAAAGTCACAAAGGGAGGTTATTTGTTGTTTTCTTTTTTATTGAAACCTAAGAATAAAACTTGATTTAGATTTTAGGAAAATATTTAAAATGTTTCTACATTAAAATTCTTTTACTGCGCTGTGCTCACTAGTTCAATAAAAAAGGTTATCGAAAGCTCTAATATGTGCATATATGGGTCATTCCATATTTAAAACAAAAAAAATTACTGACACGTAGTTTTTTCTACTTCAGCACTATACGGAATTTGCAAATTACAATTCTTTAAAATTTAAAATATTTCCAAATATTGAAGTTTTTCAATGAATTCTTCCAAATTATTATTTTTTGCATAAATAATTTGCACTTTATATAAATTGTTATATGCGAATGATAAATACAAAAATGAGACTCTTGGAAATCGTTGATTTTCAGTTTAAATGAAGGAGGAAATATATGTTAAAAAAAATCCCTTGTTTTTGTGCAACGGCAAATTATTTATAATAAGGCGAATATGTTTACACCAGGAAGGTAGCATTGCGTTAACACGTCAAAATCAGTAGTAAAAGAATTGCACATAATAGGACAATTTTTCTAAAATCGCCAAATTGGTTTTTCATGTCAAAGTAATTAAAATTGCATCGTAAATATTTGTATTAATATAGTGTTTCAATCAAAAACTTCTGATCTCTCTTAAAAATGTTTCGTTTTATGTTTTATTTAGTTTAATACTTTTAAACTGAAATTTTCTAAGAAATTTTTATTTTTACACGAATACAAATAATAA